GCAATACTCCTTACCAGTAAGTGATCTGGCAGAAAGACTGGAGTCAGTCAGAGCTCCCAGTGTAGCTGAAGGTGGCAGTTTTCCACAATGACATTGCAGTTTCATATTAAAAAACAAAAACAAAACAAAAAGAAAACCCCACGACCCCCAAGCTGCAAATTAAAATTGGTCCTATGAAAAACTGAAACCAGACACACTCCAGATGGTTATGTTGGGATATCTAATGTCCATAATGGCAGCCTTTTTACAATTCAACTACAGAACAGGAGCTGGCATTAAAAAAAAAAAAAAAAAAAAAAAAGTGCCTGAGCTATTGCAATGATGGAATGTCTCTGGGGATTCGTTCGGGATGGTGGTTTTAAGGTCATGGGAGGAAGTGCATCTGTACCCTTTCATAGTTTTGTGATTGCACTTGTTGAGCAGTACAAGCTTCAGACATTGTGAAGGAAAAAATAAAAGACTTCGGCCTACAGTGAAGTGCAACGACAAAACTAATGTTAACATTAATAGCTTTTGAGTGGCAAATTGGTTAAACAAACCAGGCACTATAAAAATGGGTGTAAGCAAACAAACGTGGATTTTTAAAAAAAAAAAAAAAAAAAAAGAGGGAACAGAAGTAAAGATATGCATGCACTTTTTTCCTCCCAACCATGCTCTATGAAAGGAAGACTAGTGAGCTGTGTAATTGCTCAAAGTGCTGAAGAGGCATTGATCAAATTAGATTGTACAATCGGCACCTTGTTTAGTATTTAAGTTGTTTTAGTTGTCAATATCACACTAATCGCTAAGACAAAGCAAAGCCTACACTTGGCATAATTCCCCTCCCAAGAGTTTTTTCAAGGTATCATGCATATCATCTTTGTGGTGCAGTAATGGTGCCAGATATGGGACTTGGTTACATACAGTGGTTAACATATAAATGAACAAAGGGTAACTGGAATTATGACATTAGGGAATGGGTAAATAAAAAACACAAACTACCATCTACAGTCTGGTAGCACTGAACACAAACTGGGTGGTGGTGAAGACAGTTGCTAGGTGGATGGGGAGAGGCTGCTCAGACGTCAGACCTCCTCAGGTATAAAGCCAGTTCATATGCTTTCTTGTTGAGTGTCCCTCCATGGACACCTTCCTTTCCCATGACTATAACCAATGCTGGAGTACACAAGGAAACAAAACAGAAATGAACAGAATTAAAGAAAAAAAAAAAAATAACACCTTTCCCCACCAACAAAGGGATACAAAGGAGACACAGGTTCATACCCCATCACCCTGCATTGCTAATAAAGTTTCCAGAATGTAAGGTTTAAAGCTCACCGCCAGGAAAGTTTAATAGCAATCTTCCCCTAATACTTAACAGTCTGCCTAGCAACTAGAACCCAGAGTCTCTCAAGTATTTTGCCATTGAGTATGCCTTCTTATTCAATCCGCCTCCATGGACCCCTTCTTTGCCCATTACAAAGACCAAGACTGAAAGAGAAAAGAAAAAAAGTTTTAAAAAGAGTGTGTTAGACAAGGAAATAATGCAAGTTTTAGGCAGTGCAATAAACACACTCAAATTCAAGATTTAGTATTTGGGTATTAAGCTAGTTTAACGGGAGTTTTGTAAAAATACGGATACGGACAGGGCTGGGAGAAGGCACTGAGTTACCTTCCGGGGTTTTACACAACTACGTAAATCATAAGAGTTAGCTGGTGGCATTTTTGTTAGCAGTGATCTCAAAAATGCACCAGCGTGCCTGTCCACCATCAGCACCATCCGCCACCACCCAGCCAGGAAAGCCTGGCTGCATCTTAAAAAAAACAAGGTGGGAAAAAAGAAGTGTTGTCAGGATCAAAAGTAGCAGTATATGTAGAAGAACTGGGACTCTGAAGAGCAGAAGAGGGAATATTCTCGTATTCTTATCTCTCGTGGTTGCTACTGGTGTTAAGAACCAGAGGAACCGCCTTGATATGAACAAAACAACCCATGTGGTCAGACTTGGGCTAAGGCTTCTCGTGCAACAATACAACTGTAAAACATGCTTTTTGCATAAGACAAAACGCAGGGAAGATTTTAATGCTGACCCTCTCTCTATTCCCACAGTTGTGGTGGAGTGTCCCAACTGTCTCACGAATGAGACCATCCTAATGCTCCTCAAGCCCTGAACACCACTGGTGAGCTGCCAGCAGAGGTCACCAGCAGGTCCACAGACACAATAAGCGCCGCGGTTCCACAGGCACAGTGATTGTTTCCCAAGCCAGGAACACTGCCACTGGAAATACTGCAGTCAGCCTACCTACAGGTGACTGTACATCTCCATAGCAATTTCCTCACAAAAAGCCCAAGACAGACAGTTCTCGCTGGCATTTCACAATTAGCAGCAGAGTCAGAACTCTGCCCGTTTCACTTCGGCACTGCAAATACTCTTCCTGTGTCACTGCCACTCAGCTTTATCATATGGACAAATTTTGCTCTGGTTTTGGCTTTATACTTATAAGCAGAAGTCCACTGCTCACTAATTTGTTTCACAGCTGGCCAAAAAAAACGTTCACAGTATTTTGAACATGAGGCATACTACTCATAGCCAGTGTTTTATGGCATGATTTTAAATCCAAACCTAGTGTCTTCCCCATAAAAGGTTTTACTAGAAATTAAATGAGGAGCACAAGGAGCTGGTGTACTAGCATAAAGCGACTTCCTCAGGGATACCAAACTGGACGGGCTTTTTCACCTGAAGACAGACTTCAGAGAGCTCAATAGGAAGTGCAAGAAGAGTTAGCGTAGAACTTGTTAAAAGGCAAGTAGGAGCAGCTCATACAAGGAACGCACAACTCTGCAGAATAAACTTTCCATTTAGAAGCTTACAAAGGAGAAGCTAATTTCGCTACCAATCATTAATAGATCCCTGCGGTGTCCTGCCGTAAGCTTTAGATACCAAGTTATCGTACACTTGGCCAGCTTACGTCAAACCATAGCCTGATCTTTCCTGCTTGTCAGAGATGTGTTTAACCGTTTCACAGCCTAGTGCCCAGCTGCAATCACAGGTGGGGAACAGGGACAAGTGTGAGTCCTAGGCAGAAATCTAGTTAGTCACCCGGGCCATGGCCACCCACCCCCCTCAAACCACTTCCTGAAATTAGCCATTAAATACGGGAGTCTGGTTTCCTTAATAGCTGGAGTCTATGCTTATGGTCACATTCTTAATTCAGGGATCTGGAAGTGAAGAAGATCGTGCTTACCTCGGCCAGCTCTGCCTACAGCAACATTGTATGTCGGCTCACCACCTTGACTCTTTGTCCTGATGTCCATTGTGCAGTCACCATCGACATACAGGCTATCTCTGATCACAGAGCACTTCTTTGCACCAAGGGTCAGACCATTGGTGAAGAAACCCTCTCGGTCTTTTCCTACAATCATATCTATTTCTACTGGCTGTTAAAGAAAAAAGCCCAGAGTTAGCACGGCAGCGTTTTATTGCTTCATTTCTCTTCAGAAAGCGCCCTGTCTCGCCTGGAGAGGCTCGGTCGGGAAGTTTCCCCTTGCCCCCACCAGGAAGTGCTCACACCACAGGGCTTTGTTAGCCACGGTTTATATTGCACCGGTTTATCGCCGCTGCCGGCGGCGGGGCCGCCGCACTCCTGGGCTCCCAGCCCCTCCATGAGGGAAGGCCCCGCATGGCCGAGGCCTGTCTGGGCGGCGAAAGCGCCGGCTCGGAGGCGGCCGTGCGGGACCGGCCCGGCGGGAGGGCAGTGGGGGGGG